GTAGAGATGAGGTCTCGCCAAGTTGCTCAGGCGGGTCTCGAACCCGCGGGCTCAGACAATTCACTCACTCTAGCCTCCCAAAGCGCGGGATTACAGGCTGAGCCACCGAGCCTGGCTAGCAGCCCTTATTTCAAGTGGCTGCCCAGTCAGCACTGTATTATAGAATTAGCGCTTCTCAAAAACAGCCAAAGTGAGAATTCTAAGGCTGCAAAAAAATACTTGGGACACAAATATAAAGCGGGGTGATATATTTTTTAAAATAAAAGATATATACTGAGGATGCCCCCCCAAAAAAGGTATATGTATTTTAGGAAAGAAAAATACTATCTTAAAGTTGTAATACTCAGCTGGACTTGGTGACTAAACCTGTAATCCCAGCACTTTGAGATACCGAGGCGAGTGGATTGTCTGAACCCACGGGTTCGAGACCAGCCTGGGGAACTTGGTGATATCTCGTCTCTACAATAAATCAAAAATTAGCCAGGCGTGGTAGCGCATTCCTGTAGTTCCAGCTACTTGGAAGGTTGAGGTTGACGGATCACCGGAGCCCTGCAAGTCAACGCTGGGGTAGCCATGAGCATGCCACTGCACTCCAGCCTGGGTGACAAAGTGAGACTCCAACTCAAAAAAAAAAGTTGTCATACTCAATATATAACAGTAACAAAAGATGAATACAAGTCACGTTTCTGCAGTTCCAAGTGGTGCTCAAAGTGGTTACCATCAGCATCCAGACTCTTCTGATTACGGCAAACTACTGTGGGACTTGTTGCTGTGTGAGGCCTCCCAGATCTTTCCTTGAGCACATCACGTACAGCACCAAGCATCTCAAACTTATCACGAATGCGTGCAATTGTTAGGCGTGTTGGAGGTTCTGTTGCATGCTCACACCTCCGTTGTCATATTTCCACAACATTCTCAAATTTCGGCTCTGTGGCTCAGCCTGTAATCCCGCGCCTTTGGGAGGCTGAGGTGAATGGATTGCCTGAGCCCGTGGGTTCGAGAACCGCCTGAGCAACTTGGCGAGACCTCATCTCTACAATAAATCAAAAATCAGCCGGGCATGGTAGCGTATGCCTGTAATTCCGGCTACTTGGAAGGCTGAGGCGGAAGGATCGCCGGAGCCCAGCAGGGCGAGGCTGCGGTGGCCTGGAGTGGCCACTGCACTCCAATCTGGGCGACAGAGTGAAACTCCAACACACACACACACACAAAAATTTCAAATACTACTTCAAAATGTTTTTGTGCTCCTCGAACCATTCTTCTGCCATTTTCTTTGATTGTCCTGCCTGTTGCATGGTGACGCTAGCATTCATTTGATTAACACCATATCTTGAGTAAACGTCATACTACACATTGCTACCATAATTCAATTCAACTTTGAAAAGTAATACATAAATAACATCTTGTAAAATGTGGATACTTTGTTTTGGTGTTATGCACATTATGAATGTTCATAATGAAATCTAATTTATCCCAGTGATGAAAAACCTGGCTGAAGTCCATTTTAAAGTTTTGTCCCTTGAGCTGGACACAGTGCTTACACCTGCAATCCCAGCACTTTGGAAGGCTGAGGCAGGGGAATTGCTTGAACACAGGAATTTGAGACCAGCCTGGGCAACATAATAAGATCTTTTTTTTTTTGAGTTGGAGCCTCACTCTGTCGCCCAGACTGGAGTGCAGTGGCCGCTCCCGGCCACCGCAGCCTCGACCTGCTGGGCTCTGGCGATCCTTCTGCCTCAGCCTTTCGAGTAGCCGGAATTACAGGCATGCGCTACCATGCCCGGCTGATTTTTTAAAATTTTTTATTTATTATAGAGATGAGGTCTCCCTGCCCAGGCGGGTTTCAAACCCGCGGGCTCAGGCAATCCACTCACCTCAGCCTCCCAAAGGCGCGGGATTACAGGCTGAGCCACCGAGCCCGACTAATAAGATCTTATCTCTACAGAAAATACAAAAATAAGCTGGGCATGGTGGCGCACACTTGTGGCCCCAGTCACTTGGGAGGCTGAAGAGGAAGGATTGCCTGAGACCAGGAAGTCAAGGCTACAGTGAACTGGGAGCATGCCACCGCACTCCAGCTTGGGCAACAGAGTGACACCCTATCTCAAAAAAAAAAAAAAAGTTTTGTCCATTGAAGTGATTCAAGAGTTGCAAAAATACTGGCTAAAAATGTTTTGGTTAACTAGACGCCAGCTAATGGTAATAATTCAACTCCAAGACAACACTGACCATATCTGGAACAAGTAGGAAGAAACCCCTAGGGAGTTGTTGCCTGGGCGGGTGCATAATGCTGCTCCCTTTCCCATTTATCCTTTGTCTTCAGGTCTTCCTGACACTCCAGATCCTAACCTGAGTCACCAAGGGAGGATACAGTTGTGCCCAGCAGAGTCTTTTTCCCAAGGCAAGAAAGTAGATTAAAATTTGGAAAACTTCCTAACAAGTCTATTTTAACAATAAACCGATGAAGAGTCAACAGAAATCCAATTAACCAGAGCATTCCAGTCATAGAGTTCTCAGGGTTTGGCTTTACAGATATGAAACATTTAAAAATAAATCACATTTATTTGTCAATGATGCCTTATTAAAGCTGTCAGGAGACTAATACAAATGAATAATTAAAGACAAACATCCTAATTTTAAAAATGGACCAAAAAGCTGAACACGATGACTCATGCCTGTAATCCCAGTACTTTGGGAAATGGAGGCAAGAGGATTGCCTGAGCCCAGGAGTTCAAGACCAGCCTGGGCTACTTGGTGAGACCTCGTCTCTATGACAAATACAAAAAATTGGCCAGGTGTGGTGACATGCTCCTGTAGTTCCAGCTACTTGGAAGGCTGAGGTGGAAGGATGGCCTGAGCCCAGCAGGTCGAGGCTGTGGCGGCCGTGAGCGTGCCACTGCATTCCAGACTGGGTGACAGAGTGAGACTCCGACTCAAAAATAAATAAATAACCAAATAAACTCCTGAGAGATACAAAAGTAATAATAAAATTAAAATGT